TTCTGAAGACATTCATCTCCCTATGCATGTACAGTGATGAGGCCTCCCAAAAGCTCAGAACAAAAAGGGTAAGATTTTTCCTCACTGAAAGGTTATAATGGCAATTTTCATCAAGTATCATCTATTTTCTTACTTGGCAAAATAAGAAACAAAAAAAATGAGAAAAAGATGATAATGAAGGGACTCCAGAGAATGTTAGAAGCACCGGCAACTTGTCAGCCTAAGTGTTCCCCATATTAGATGTTCCCATATACTATATTTACTGTGGTGTATCAGATCCCATTTTATAGAATTACAAGACTGTTTTAGGATCCCCCACTGTGTCTGGGAGTTGAACATAGGAAACCCTAAAAGCACATAGCAGCAATAATGGGCTTAGATTTGATTTCTTTTTGCAGCCATAACTGGTTTGCATGTACATGCTTTGCATGTGTTTGTTTCTGGTTGTGTAGCTGTCATGCACTGAAAGTTCCTCGTCTGGAGCCCCACAGAGTAATTGAGTACATCATTGTGGAAATTGCCACTTGCATGTCTTCATTTCTGTAAGATGAGATGACAACATTTATACTGGTCAAAATGCTCTTTTCTGTCTAAATGAGTCTATAGGGCAAAGCTACAAGATGCACCTTATCATAACTAAACCAATCTCTTGGCTAATTGGTGCTAAGAACATCCCATAGTCTACAATAGTCTCAATTTTATTCACTTGATATATCAGCTGGAGATTTTGAATATCTTCTGTAATATCTGAGATTTATATTTCAAAATATAATTATTTTATATTCTGGGCTTTATTGTTTTGTTGTTTGTTTGTTTCTTTGCTTGTTTTAACTCAATTAATTTGTTAGTGAATATTTAAAAAAGAAAATACAAACCAACCAGCTTAACAAAACAAAACAGGTTTTTTGTTTGCACAAAATTGTTTTTGTTCCTCAGCTTCCTGTCCTTCTTTCTAAAAGAAGGTGGAAGATAAGTTATTCTAAGGAATAACACTGTTATGTTGCTGTAAGGGAGAAAAAAACCCAACATAATTTCCTTTGATACAAATTCAGGCTAAATACAGTAGCAAAGATGAGGGTAATAGAAGGTAATAGTGAAGGTAATAGAAGATGAGCTAGCTTTTCACACAGTATAAATTAATATCTGCCAGGACACAATAAACTTTTGTCGTTATTTTGTTTTCTTCCACACTCCAGCCTTTTATAGTTGAGCTGGACCAAGTTTTAGTTTTTTTGGTTTTGTTTTTTTTTTTTTTTAACAAAATAACATCCTACAAAATGCTACATATTTCACTTTTTTTTTTTTCTATGAAATGCAATATAGTGTTGGTTTTAGTTTTTTTGGTTTTGTTTTTTTTTTTTTTTAACAAAATAACATCCTACAAAATGCTACATATTTCACTTTTTTTTTTCTATGAAATGCAATGTAGTGTTGGGAGACTGAAAAAAAAAGTTATTAACAATAATAAGTTGCCCAGCTATTTATAGGATCTGACTAAATTGCACCTGTTGTGTTTTACAGCTTTTCATATTAGCCCCGTTGTCAGCAGTAAATGAGTTTTCATACTTGCTGTTGTTCATGTAGGTTTCCTATTCTTCCTTGGTTGAAGCAATCAAGAGCTGTGATTACTTCAAGTGAAGAAAATTAAGCTCATACGTACTGACAGATACAGGAACACAACTTCTTTCGTGAATTAGTGAAAAAACAGTCTGTTTTTTTGTTATTCAGTGATTGTGCTTCGCAACTGCAGGTTTTGAAGCTGGGCCACCACTGGTGCCCACAGCAGTAAGTACTCAGAGTAAATGTCTTGGCTTCATTCCCTGCATGAAAAGCAACAGTACGCTAGATAGAGACATTCTCTCAGCAACAACAGGGGCCTTTCGCCATCCTAGACTATCGTGAAGGCAAAATCCTGAATTCAGTGTGAGGGCTTTGGTATAAGGGATCTTCACCCCTGAGCTTGCTGCAATACACAGCTCAGTTGCAGGTGACTAGATGTGTAGAACAAGGTTATTGCCCCTTCAAACATTTTATCAACAAACTGGGCTGGTTGTGCAGAGGAGTGGCTGGAAAGGGCCTGAATGAGAACATCACATCATGCCACTCAGATCACCAAAACAGGGGAGCCCGGGAAGGAGCTGTGCTTCTGAATGGTGTCACTGAAACCTTCTGTCCTCATCATAAAAGCATTTGGGTTGATACAGACCAAGGGCATAGCTAGCCTCATACTCTAACTGTAGATGTAAGCAGGCACTCAGGGAAAAAAAAAAAAAAGAGAACAGAGCAACCCTATATGACACTTCTGTATTCTCTCAACTTGTGGTTCCTTCCAGCTCAGAGGATTTCCTGAACCTTGTATGTTATGCCTGTTTAGTAGCCTTCAACTGAAGTCTCTTTCAAGTACTTTTACAACCTTCCCTTGAAAACAGGTAAAATTTTTGCATCTGCAAGATCTGTTAAGGAGTTCCACAGGTTTACTACCTATCACAGCAACCATCCCATTTTGCTTGCGTTGAATTCAATTAGATTTGCTTAATAGCTCTAGCTCTTCTATGAATCCATCCCTCAGAACCAGTATGGCACTATGGTGTCATTTTGGAGCAGTGAGTTGGACAGATACTGTCATTTTTTCCAGAGTATACCTAATAGAGGTGGTATTATCTAATAGAGAAGAGCAAGGCTCATGAACCTAGAGTGTTCTTCCTAATCTGTGTCTTGGGAGAGTTCCTGCACCCGTCTATCGCAGTTTCCCACTTTTTAAATCATGAGAAGGTTTTGTTGGTTTTTTTGGGTTTTTTTGTTTGTTTGTTTTTGCTTTGAAAAGTACCAATTAAGAGCACTTTACAATATAAATATTAACCTGTGTGTTCTGGTTATAGGGTGAAATTCTTTAACGTAACCTAGAAAGAGACATGCAGGCTAACCCCAGAAGAGCAGCAGGGCCGCTGAGTAGGGCTATGTGAGACAGAGGCTCAAGTCCTTTTTCAAAGAAAGGTCTTTCTGCCATGGAAGTGTCCTAACCACTAGGTGACAGCGGATTCTCTAGAAGAGCCTGTCTTGTCTCTTCTGTTTCCCTTTTTCTCTTCGAAAACACCCAGTACTAGGAAAGTTCCTGCAATTTCAGAAAGTATCAGAAACCCAGAAAAGTATTTATCACCCCATAGACGTGCTATCTGATTAGCGATCAGACTTGAGCTCTGGAAGAACCAACCTCTTGCTTTCTTTCACCTTCTGCCCTGCTAGACGGCGCGATCTGTTGTCTCCGTTGTGGCTGGTGCACTAGGTGGCAATAGAGAATCACCTCTGCCCCTACTCACACCCAAAGGAGCTGCAGGCGTGCAAAACTACACACCTAGGGGTTACGAATATCAAACCCTTACTAAGTTTTTAACAGCACAGCGTTAGAATTATTGCACCTGCAGTCTATTAGGAAACTCATGGCAGCAAACTCTCAGCAGATACCAGTGCTCCCATACTTAAGCACAGGGAGAAGAAGCCTGACCACACAGGAAAACTGGAGGATTTGCTCACTGGGCTATATTTACGCCTAGCTGCCAAGCATGCCAAAAGCATTATCTCAAAAGCATATTAATCAACAGTGCAACTTAGGTGCCTCTTTTCAGCAAGACAATGTTGACATCTGAGAGCTACGGCTTTCAAGCCTAAAATTCAGCTCTTGTAAATGTAGCTTCCAGCACCAATTCACAGTGCAGATGTAGGGCCAAGATGTCTGTCCCAGTCCAGCAGTCCGCAAGTCACTAGGCAACACTCTCCAGCTCCTTTTTACATGCTGAGCTTCTATTCCTGTGAATCCTGCGTTCACTGCATTGCAGAACAGCTCAAAAAGGAATGTACAGAGCATTCTCCCCTAAACTATCCCACAGCAGGGTGTTGGTTTTGTTTCATCTTTAAACAAGGAGTTTCTCTTCTCATCTTCTAAATAACAGTGTAGTACTTTCACCCAGAAAGTGGATGACTAAGGTTTAAACCCTATTTAGTCTGGATTCCAGAGTTTTTTTGTGAAAACACAGGCATCTAACTATCAGGATGTCTAGGCCTGGATTTCTTCCGAACATAAAGGTCTCCCAAAGCCTTTGTGTAGCTGCACAATAAAAGGATAATTGCCACAGTAATTACTCCCCTTCTGCTCTGTGTATAGATCAGCCCTGAAGAGCAAAGGAGTCCAGGAAGGCTGGATATTCTTAAAAGAAGGAAATCTTAAAGGCTCAGGAGCAGGCCTTCCCCACGTGCCAAAAGACGAGCCAGCAGGGAAGATCGGCCTGGCTGAACAGAGAATGTTGTCTGGAACCCAGGAAATAAAAGAGAGTTTATGACCTTTGGAAGAAGAGGCAGACCACCCTGGAGGACTACAAGGATGTCATGAGGTTATACACGGAGAAAATTAGAAGGGCCAAAGCCCAACTAGAACTTAATCTGGCTGCTGCTGTAAAAGACAATAAAAAAATGTTTCTATAAATACATTAACATCAAAAGGAGCGCTAAGGAAAATCAGGAAATAAAAGAGAGTTTATGACCTTTGGAAGAAGAGGCAGACCACCCTGGAGGACTACAAGGATGTCATGAGGTTATACACGGAGAAAATTAGAAGGGCCAAAGCCCAACTAGAACTTAATCTGGCTGCTGCTGTAAAAGACAATAAAAAAATGTTTCTATAAATACATTAACATCAAAAGGAGCGCTAAGGAAAATCTCCATCCTAAGACAATAAAAAAATGTTTCTATAAATACTTTAACATCAAAAGGAGCGCTAAGGAAAACCTCCATCCTTCATTAGATACGAGGGGAAATACATTGACAAAGGATGAGGAAAAGGCTGAGGTACTTTTTGCCTTCTTTGACTCCATCTTCAATAGTAAGACCATTTGTTCTCCGGGTACCCAGCCCCCTGAGCTGGAAGACAGGGACAGGGAGTGGAATGAAGCCCCCATATTCCAAGGGGAAATGGTTAATGACCTGCTACAACACTTCAACACAAATCTATGGGGCCGGATGCGATCCATACAAGGGTACTGAGGGAGCTGGCGGAAGTGCTCACCAAGTCACTTTACATAATTTATCATCAGTCCTGGCTAACCAGGGAGGTCCCAGTTGACTGGAGGTTAGCAAATGTGATGTCCATCTACAAGAAGGACCATAAGGAGGATGCAGGGAACTACAGGCCTGTGATTCTGACCTTGGTGATGGGGAAGGTTATGGAGCAGACATGTACAGGACATGTACAGGACAACCAAGAGATCAGGCCCAGTCAACATGGGTTTATGAAGGGCAGGTCCTGTTTAACTAACCTGATCTCCTTCTATGACAAGGTGACCCATTCAGCGGATGAGGGAAAGGCTGTGGATGTTGTCTACCTAGACTTTAGTAGAACCATTGGCACCCTTTCCCCCAGCATTCTCCTGGAGAAACTGGCTGCTCATGGCTTGGATGGGGGAACACTTCACTGGATAAAAAACTGGCAGGATGGTCGTGCACAAAGAGTGGTGGTGAATGGACTTAAATACAGCTGGTGGCCAGTCACAAATGGTGTTCCCCTAGGCTCAGTATTGGGGCCAGTTCTGTTTAATATCTTTATCAATGATCTGGATGAGGGGATCAAGTGCACCCTCAGTAAGTTTGCAGACAGCACCAAATTGGGCAGGAGTGTTGATTTGCTGGAGGGTAGGAAGGCTCTACAGAGGGATCTGGACAGGCTGGATCATTGGGCCAAAGCCAGCTGTGTGAGGTTCAACAAGACTAAGTGCTGGGTCCTGCACTTGGGTCACAACAACCCCATGCACCACTAAAATATATTGCCTATCCCTTTCCACTACATCAATGTCTGCAGTATATCCCACTAATACCCAAAATAATGAAAAATAACTACAAAGGAGCATATCACAACTTATAAACTGTTATACTGAAAGAAAACAAAAACCCATCTGGCACTTGTTTGGAGCATTCTGTTAAACCTTCTGTTAGTAACACACTGTTGAAAAATATACTAGATTAACTTGTCTTGGTAAATCAAAGGTTACCCTAGGTCTTGGTTTGTAGTGTTGCAGGGAAATCCAAATGTCAGCATATGAAAGACTTAATTCTCTGCTCCACCTACTGCGGGCGTCCACTTCTGGTGGCTTCATTTCTGCTGACACGAATGGAATTTAATCTGAATTAGGCCATCAGGTTTGATTTTTTCTGGTGGATTATGAGAAAAAAAGAGTTGACACAGGTGATTTTAAACAGATTTTAAAGTTACCTACTTACACAAACAGTCAGGAACTACAAGGGCTTAAATACTGTAAAGAATAATTAATCAAAGAAGCCAAACCTAGCAACAAAAACAAGTAGTGAGGAAGTAAGAAGCATCAACCTTTCTCTAGGAGCAGCTAACATCCCCCTGCATGACATTTGAGCTAAATACGCTGAGCCACTCTGGAAAAAGAAACAAAAACCTACCCAGTCCTTAGTTCTGCCTGATTACCTGGTCCCAGTTCTTCAGTCTCTCGAGAGTCATGTTTTTCTTTCCCCAGTAAAGAGCAAACCTTAAGAAGAACCCCCACAATCAAGCCTGAAATGAACTGCAAGAATTATAGGAACTGAAGCTCAGTGGAAAATATGATAGGTCAGAAGAGGTGGGTGTCACTGACAGCATCAAGAACCAACAATAAAGTGGCCAAGTCTTCCATTTGAAAACCAACATCTGGATGTTTAGCAGAAGTCCTGGCTCTGAAAGCATAATCTTCTATCTTATTATGTAATTCTTTCTTAAAATATGCCAAAAACAAACTGAAATTTTGGGAAGGAAAATCAGCAGAAGAAATAGTAAGTATCTGTGTGTACCTGGACACACATATAATGAAGAAGCTCCAGGAGTGGGACCAGCTACACAGTTCCATCACAGTATTAGTCTGTTTTGACAAAATCCCAAACTCTGATCTGGAAGATCACACATATCTTGCTCAGGTTTGCACTCAGGCCGCTGCTTAGAAGAATCCAGAAGTCAAAAATCAGCAGAAGAAATAGTAAGTATCTGTGTGTACCTGGACACACATATAATGAAGAAGCTCCAGGAGTGGGACCAGCTACACAGTTCCATCACAGTATTAGTCTGTTTTGACAAAATCCCAAACTCTGATCTGGAAGATCACACATATCTTGCTCAGGTTTGCACTCAGGCCGCTGCTTAGAAGAATCCAGAAGTCATGTCAGTCTGGTGAAGTTCCCACAGACTGGAAAAGGGGAAACATAACCCCCATGGTGAAGTTTACACTGACTGGCAACGGGGAAACTACAGGCCGGTCAGTCTCACGTTTCTGCCCAGCAAGATCACGGACTAGATTCTCCTGGAAACTATGCCAACGCACATGGAAAATAAGGAGGTGATTGGTGACAGCCAACATGTCTTCACTAAGGACAAATCGTCCCTGACAAATTTGGTGGCTTTCTACATTGGGGTCACAGCACTGGGGTCACAGCATTGGTTGATAAGGGAAGAGCAACTGATGTCATCTAGTTGGACTTGTGCAAAGCACTCAACACTGTCCTCCACAGCATCCTTGTGTCTGCACTCAAAGAGTTCTGATCAACTGCTTGATGTACAAGCAGAGACCAGTGACAAGTGGTGTTCCTCAGGGGTCGGTACTGAGACTGGTGTTGTTTAACATCTTTGTCAGCAACATGGACAGTGGGATTCAGTGCACCCTCAGCAAGTTTGCCGATGACACCAAGCTGTGTGTTGCAGTTGACATGTTGGAAGGAAGGGATGCCACCCAGAGGGACCTTGACAGGCTTGAGAGTTGGGACCTTGACAGGCTTGAGATTTAGGCCCATGCCAGCCTCATGAAATTCAACAAGGCCAAATGCAAGGTCCTGCACACTGGTCAAGGCAATCCCAAGCAAAAATACAGGCTGGGCAGAGAATGGCTTGAGAGTAACCCTAAGAAGAAGGACTTGGGGGTGCTGGTAGATGAGAAGCTGAACATGACATGGTAATGTTCACTTGCAGTCCAGAAAGCCAGTCGTGTCCTGGGCTGCATCAAAAGAAGCATTAGCAGTAGGTTGAAGGAGGTGATTCTCCTCCTCTACTCTGCTCTCGTGAGACCCCACCTGGAGTACTGTGTTCAGCTCTGTGGCCCCGAACATAAAAAACACCTGGACTTGTTGGAATGAGTCCAGAGGAGGGCCATGAAGACGATCAGAGGGCTGGACCTCCTTTCCTATGAAGACAGGCTGAGAGAGTCGGGCTTTTTCAGCCTGGAGAAGGCTCTGGGTAGACCTTATAGCAGCCTACGAGTATTTAAAGGGGCCTACAGGAGAGATGGGGAGGTACTCTTTGTTGGCGAGGGTAGTGGTAGGACAAGGGGGAACGGGTTTAAGCAGAAAGAGTTTTTTTTTAAGCAGAAAGAGGGTAGATTTAGATTAGATATTAGGAAGAAATATTTTAGTGTGAGGGTGGTGAGGCACTGGAACAGGTTGCCCAGAGAAGCTGTGGATTCCCCATCCCTGGAGGTGTTCACAGTCAGGCTGGATGGGGCTTTGAGCAACCTGCTCTAGTGGAAGGTGTCTCTGCCCATGGCATGGGAGTTGGAACTAGATGATCTTTAAGGTCCTTTCCAACCCAAACCATTCTATGATTCTATGATCTACGCTTAAATTGTTTAGCTGAGCAAATTGTCCCTTAGTTTTAGTTTCAGAGCTACTCTTATGCAACCAGCAGTGAAGACATAGACACGCAAAGTCAATTTTATACCAATTTGATGTTAGTTGTGTATGCTCCTGTTTTATCTTGTCTGGACCTTGAGACTCACTCTAATGAGGATTCAGTAGGGTCGGGAGCCTGGAAATTATATTTCAGCCTGGTTCTCAAAAGATGACATTGCACAAGAAAGTTTAAGACAACACTTCATTAGAGCTATGTAGTTTCTCTTACTAACTAGTAATTATAAGCAAGGGGAGAGTAAAGAGAGACAGCCTGCCTGACTGAAAGTCTGATTGCTTTCTTCAAACTGTTATATATGCCTCTTCAGTCTCCATGTTGGTCTAGACTCAAACAATAGATCCAATAAGCCACTTGCTGCAGTGAATCTTGGTTAATATGCCTCAAGATTAATGCAGTGCTATTTCTCTTTGAAGGTAAAATCTGCTTTTTTAAGTGTTGTAAGAACTATGAAAGGGGTTTAGGCTTGGATTTTTGTTCTTTTACATCTAAATATAATTCAAATGCTTCATTTTTTTCATTGTTATTGCTTTTGTTACATGGAACAAATGTTTTCAGTATTTCACATTCCTGTTAGTAAGAGGGCTTTATTTTCCTATATCTGACTAATGTCTCCTTTAAGTCTATGGCAATTCTCCCATTAACTTCAGCAGTCATTAAAGAGGCCTAAAAGGCAGATGATTTACACCAATATAATATCATATAATGTAATTAAAGGCAATAACATTGAGATTAAAACTATAAAAATAACATTGTGTTTCCACAAATTTCTGGTAGCCAGAAACAAAAATCATAAGCCACCAGCAACTTCCATACCAAGCCTAGTAGCAGGATCAAGGTTATGTTTATCAGATAGAGGGGATATCTCAGCTGAGAATGATTTTTTATGCAAGCATATCACTTGCACAAATTTGGAATTACTATCAAGACTGTAAAACATTTTTTCCTTTAATGACTTAGAGAAAAGAAATGAAAGATTAGACTCATCTTGTGTATTTTGTGAACATTTCAAAACTAGAGCAAAAAAGCATTTTGTGTGCTTCGTGTTTATATATAAATATAACTTACAGAACAGATGACACCATATATCCCTGGAGTGGGATCTTGTGTCTTTGACTATAAGGCTGTCTAGAAACTGAGCCCAGATTCTGTCTTTATACATCAAACACAACAAAAAAGCTATTGGAAACCTTCCAGAACTTAAGTTTTTTCTCAAGTACAGGGGTTACAGGAGTCTGGCAGAGGAATAAAGAAGGGTGCTGAAGAGTGAGTTAGCACTGGAGAAATGTCTAGTCTATCAGTTCAACTTCTCCTTGAGGATGTCTCTTACTGTGAACTCTGAAGATGAATGATTGGCTTCGTTTTCTAGAATTATAGGACTCTTCACTGAAGTCAAGATCTTGCTCCTCTTCCTTTAGTACAGATAAACTATAGGTAATTGTCAGAATGATACAACAGGAAAACTCTAGTTTTTATCATTCTCAGCCAGTATAAAAGCCTACGTAATTATAAACATAGTAGTGTTTATTAGAGGGGTTTTTAAGCCATAAGGCCAAACAAAGAGCTTTACCACTTACATTCCAACTCAAGACATAATGAAGCAATGGGCAATCCCAGCTACTTATATAGACTGGGAGAAGAACTCCTTGAGAGCAGTCCTGCGGAGGAGGACCTGAGGGTCCTGTTGGACGAGAAGATGGACTTGCACCAGCAGTGTGCGCTTGCAGCCCGGAAGGCCAAATATGTCCTGGGTTGCATTAAAAAAGGGGTGGCCAGCAGGGAGAGGGAGGTGATTCTCCCCCTCTACTCTGCTCTTGTGAGACCCCAAGTGCATCCAAGCCTGGGGTCCCCAGCACAAGAAGGATGTGGAGGTCTTGGTATGGGTCCAGAGGAGGGCCACAAAGATGATCAGAGGGCTGGAGCACCTCTCCTATGAAGAAAGGTTGAGGGAACTGGGCTTGTTTAGCTTGAGAAGAGAAGGCTCCGGGGAGACCTCATTGTGGCCTTCCAGTGCTTGAAGGGAGCGTATAAACAGGAGGGGGAGTGAGTATTTACAGGGGTTGATAGTGACAGGAGGAGGGGAATGGTTTTAAACTAAGAGAGGGGAGATTTGGGTTGGATATTAGGTGGAAATTTTTCACTCAGAGGGTGGTGAGGCACTGGCACAGGTTGCCCAGAGAAGCTGTGGATGCCCCATCCCTGGAGGTGTTCAAGGCCAGGCTGGATGGGGCCCTGGGCAGGCTGCTCTAGTGGTTGCAACCCTGCCCACAGCAGGGGGGTTGAAACTAGATGATCTTTAAGGTCATTTTCAACCCAGGACATTCTATGGTTCTATGATTCTATGAAAGACAAATGCCATCTCTCCAAGTGTTGCTCCCTTCCTTCTTTTCCCCCCAGCTTTATATGTTGAGCGTGACATCATATGTTATAGAATGTCCCTTTGGTCATTTGGGGTCAGCTCTCCCAGCTGTGTCCCCTCCCAACTCCTTGTGCACCCCCAGCTTGCTCGCTGGTGGGATGGGGTGAGAAGATGAAAAGGCTTGACTCTCTGTAAGCACTGCTCATCAATAACTAAAACATCCCTGTGCTATCGACACTGTTTCCAGAACAAATCTGAAATATAGCCCACGCTAGCTACTATGAAGAAAATTTACTCTATCCCAGCTAAAACCAGCATACCTTACCAAAAAGTTTGTTCTGTGATTAATTCCTACAATATCAAGTTATATCAAGATTGCAAAAGAGTGTGAAAGTTCCTTTTTTCCTGTTAATTGGGGTAACAAAACCAGTATGCAAGAACGCTTCATAAAATATCTATCTAGTTCCGTTGTACCCAAAGTCAATATCAGAATTTATTTTCTTTTCTACACATCCAAATATCAATGTTTAAAACAGTGCAGAATGTATCTTTTTGAGCCTCTGGTTAGATATTTGGCTTTCAGTAGCTACTGCTTGTAATTAAGGAGTTTTTCCATTGCAGTGAGCAAATGTGTTTCTTATAAATTAATACAATCTGTCTGATGAAACTGAAATCTAGGAACAAAGTTAATTAGGTAAATTATGGAAATAATTATAATAATTCCAACTAGGTGTGTGTTCTGTGGTTTCTAGTTTGTTACAGATAGCAAAAAGTTACCTCTTTGATTATCTTATTAGTGTAATTATACCCACTCCAAATGTTATGTCTTAGGTCTATCAAGGAATATTTACTTTCTCCAAGCCTTTAAGAGACACCTAAGATCTTTGGTTTCTCAAAATGTTGATTATGTATTTTTTATAAATTAGAATAGTTTCCCTCTACTTTTGTAGATTATTCATTGCAGTAATACAATATTTAACTTCATCCCATGGTCAGCCAAACAGAAAGAAAATAAGCATTGGACCTTTCTCTGCAGTCCACAGTCTGAATACCTGACCCTGTAAACAGCCATAAAAGTGACAAATCACTTGAGGCCATTATAGATATTGCATCATTTTTCTTCTATTCTATAAAGTGACATATTATGTTTTTGACAAGTTCATTGCTAACTGTCCTTATTCATTGCAACTGGAATTTTCAAGAAGTCCTAAATTACACACACACAGTTTTGAAATTCTCTTGTCAAATGTACTCTACAGTAAATTTCCAAAAATTATTGAAAGAGCTGAATGCCTACTTGATTTTAACTGAGCAGTTACATTTTGGTTATGAGCTGATACTGGAAGACCTTAGAGGTTAGATTAATCTTAACACACACCCTGGACTAGACTCTATCTTTCTCCAAAAAAGCACTCTAAAACAGAAAAAAAGTCTTTCTTTCTTTCTTTCTTTCTTTCTTTCTTTCTTTTTCTTTCTTTCCCTTTCTTTCTTTCTTTCTTTCTTTCTTTCTTTCTTTCTTTCTTTCTTTCTCCTGCGTTCTCTATCTTCTAATGTCAAATACAGTGATGCAAAAACATAAGAGAAACTCTTGTTGCCATGATGTAAATACATTCTGATAAAGATGCCCCCACTCCTTTGTTAGACTTGTCTTTTTTCCTATTTACCATCAGGCTAGAAAAGGCCTTCAAAGTCATCTCATCCTTCCTATGCTCAAAACAGGGATCAGCTCTGTCTAGGCCAGTACTGACAAATGTTTATTTTTTTCTTCAACCTCCAATGACAGACTCAAAGCAATGTTTTCCAGCCATCTAAGTGTTTTTCTGTGTCTAATCTGAAACCTCCTTGTTGTGACTGAAGCTTGTTTGTGTTCACCACAGTCGTGGGAATGGATTGTATCCTTCCTGTTTCACTGATTTGAGGTTATCATATCCCCTTCAATCCTCTCCCTAGTTTGTTCAATCTTTCCTCACAGCTTGTAAACCTGGTCAATATTTGCTTCTCTCTAGATCAGCTCTAATTAGGGTTTATTTCTTTCTTGAATTGTGAAACCCCAAACTGGAGATATTTTTCTAATGCCTTATCAATCCTGAGTAAGACCGTGAAATTACTTTATGTGTTTTCAAAGAGTTCTGGTTACGTATTTGAAAATTGCCTTTTTCACAACAGCAAGACATTACTGAGTTGGAGTCAGTATAGCACATAAAAAGCCAACACAAAATGTCTTCTTGTGTTCCACCTGCTCTGTATCTGTAGCTTGCTTAACCTGAATTAAGGAATTGGGACCTCTCTTTCTCCCAGGGGAAGACAAACGCTCATCAGAATTTGTAAACTAGACAGAAAGGTTTATCCATCTGTAGCTACAGAAATATGGCTCACCTCAGGAGCGGTGTATAACTTATTTTACATGGTTCCTTGTTACACATTTAGCAGCCTGTCTCACACCTTCTTTATACTTCAAAGGCCACACAAGTGTTATCATAGCTAGAGTTCAGTGTAAGGCAATTCCATGCTATTTGCAGGATGTAAAACCGATAGCACTGGTTTTTGTCATCCCAAGTCACAGTCACTCCCTGCTTTAGGGTTAAGGGGGTCTATTTGAGTGTGTTCTTGGGAGAAAGAGAGCTCCCAGTTCCTTAATTCAGATTAAGCAAGCTACAGATACGGAGCAGGTGGAACAAATAGTTTAATCCTACAGGGATGTTGGTTTTCTGTCTCTCAGCTAATGATGTACTTATCCACAGCATTATTTCTGTGCTCAAAATTAAATGGAGAAGTGCTTTCTTAGATGAGGACTAGAGAGTTCAGAATTTGTAGGACTGAGCATCTAATTGTTCTTTTCAAAAAAATAATTACATTCTACACACAATTTTAAAAGTTACTTGAGTCTTCTGCACATCTGTTCACTACTGTGAAGGACTTAAAGCAAAAAAGTAAGTATGTAAATCAGAAATGTGTTTTATGTTACCTAAATGTCAAGCATCTAAAATGAGTACCTCTGTTTTCTGTCTCCTGTGGAGTTCCTAGAGAATGATTTCATATTTTTCTTAAAAAGCAAGGAAGGCCACTACTTACTATGGTAAGAATCACATTTTTTCAGGAATATGGTTTGCTATCTCACTATTTTATTAAATTATCCTTAGATACAACATCCATAAATTTCAGACTGATGAAAAGGACACTGTTTAAAGAGAGGTGTTAAGTTTCAACCATATCACTAAAACTTCATTAAACATCATCAGCAGAAAAGGAACACTTTCTCTTGCATTCATGCATTTTTCCTTTGTATAATTAAATATGCCTTTCTACAGAGGGTGGTGAAGGCAATTCACTTTTTCTTAGTCAATCCAATGGGAAAAGAACTGCAGTATGAGTAGGCCATTCATGCAGAAAATATCTATACTACAGAATATTGTGTAGCAATTTAGTCATAAACCAACACATCCTCCTAATCCCTGCAGACCTAGTCTTTGCATATACTTTACCTTAATACCTGTTGAGCCTGTTGCATTCCAGTGATATGTTAGAATGTCATAATAGCCTGCTTACCTGGCACAGTTTAGACTTTTTTCTTTTTTTATGTTATTTGATCCACCTGTGGAGTTAGCTACACTGAAACAACTCAACACACGCTTATGTAATCGCTTGCTGATGATTCTGGTTACTAAGGATTAAAATAGAAAGGAGAGTATAAATCAAGTCACCAACAGATTTGAAACATCATATTGCTGTAGGTATTTCCATGGTGTTCTAAGTTGAATTGGAAAATTATTTCCCATACAAACCTATTGGTCCTATCTACCTGCTGCTTGCTGACATCATCAATACTTTATTATTGCAGATATACAAAATAATATATCATATTTTCTTCTTTTTCAGAACTGTGCTTGCTTTCAGACTTATGTCTACGTATTTTTCTTTCTCCCCAGGTAATGCATTTGTGGTGAGCTTGGCTTTGGCTGATCTGGTGGTGGCCTTGTACCCCTACCCACTGGTGCTCTTAGCTATTTTCCACAATGGATGGACTTTGGGTGAAATGCACTGTAAAGCAAGTGGCTTTGTGATGGGACTAAGTGTAATAGGCTCTATTTTCAATATCACTGCAATTGCAATAAACCGATATTGCTATATATGTCATAGTTTTGCCTATGACAAAGTGTACAGCTGTTGGAACACAATGCTGTACGTCTCCTTAGTCTGGGTATTAACAGTAATTGCAACTGTGCCAAATTTTTTTGTTGGCTCTTTAAAGTATGATCCACGCGTTTATTCATGCACATTTGTTCAGACTGCAAGCTCCTACTATACGATAGCTGTTGTGGTAATCCACTTCATCATCCCTATCACCATTGTCAGCTTCTGCTACCTTCGAATTTGGGGTTTAGTGCTTCAAGTTAGAAGACGGGTCAAGTCAGAAACAAAGCTAAGACTGAAGCCAAGTGACTTCAGAAACTTTCTTACCATGTTTGTTGTTTTTGTGATTTTTGCCTTTTGCTGGGCGCCTCTAAACTTCATTGGACTGGCTGTAGCCATCAATCCTATGGAAATGGCACCAAAAGTTCCTGAATGGTTATTCATTATAAGCTACTTCATGGCCTATTTCAACAGCTGCCTTAATGCAATAATATATGGACTTCTTAATCAGAATTTTCGGAATGAATACAAACGAATTTTACTATCACTGTGGATGCCAAGGCTTTTCTTCCAGGACACATCCAAAGGAGGAACTGATGGTCAGAAGAGCAGGCCTTCTCCTGCTTTAAACAACAATGACCAAATGAAAACTGATACCTTGTAAATGCATAATAGTCAATGAAAGAGTCTGTCATGGAGAACTCCAAGAATATAGTTGTAATGTTCTGGTCATTCTTGCTTACTTTTGGGGGTTTTCCACTTGGATGGCACTTTTGTGACTGGAATACTGTCTTCTTGATAAAGCACATTGCTCTCAATTCATGATTTATAAAAGATATCAATTGAAAACGCGTTTCAGAGTTAAAGCAGCAGTTGAGTGCAAGCTGTTTTAGTTCTGAGAGCTGAATTCTGCTCCCAGACATATGAAGGAGGCATTTTTTTTACTTCACTGGGAGTTTTGCATTCTTTATACAAGGTCAGGATTCATTTCTTAGAAGATATAGTGATGGTACTTGTCTACGGGCACAGCAGCTCATCAAGGCTGCAGGGTGATGTTCTTCTCCCTCCTGTATCTGAACAAAGGGTGAAGCAGATATTCTGTTTTCCACACATAAGCCAAACTACATTTCTGTGCATGTACTGGTGGCAATAGTATGTTTCAATGAAACTTGTAACTGGAAAGAAGAATGTTTGTGTAAAAGCAAATATTAACATCAGAGCCTTTCCTCACAGTTTTTTCGTACTTACATACACTGAGATTAGGAATACAGTGTGTTTACTCTGTTCATCTCCTGTGGTCAATTTTATGGCAGACAACATAATACAAATGGTTGATTTTTTATGCATTTACTTTACATAATATTCTTCCTTTAGAGAGGATTGAATTTTCATTGAACTTCATTTATTTACCTAAATATATAAATTAAAGGTCATTTGATGCACTTTAACACAAATTACATATTTGCAACAAGTTGGAAACTATGGCATATGACCTGTGATCATCTGGAGTGGCAACTGGACACCAGGCAGGGTATCCTAGATCATTTCAAATGACACTAGACTGAAAGAAGAAGAAGCCCTTTTGACTGTAACACTCCCATCAGTGCGGAGGGAGCTGGTGGATGTTATTGCTAGGCCACTCTCCACCATCTTTGAAAGGTCATGAAGAACAGGAGAGGTGTCTGAGGACTGGAAGAAAGCCAGTGTCACTCCAATCTTCAAAAAGGGTAAGAAGGAGCACCCAGGAAACCACAGGCCTGTTAGCCTCACCTCTATCCCTGGAAAGGTGATGGAACAGCTTATCCTTGATGTAAACTCTAAGCATGCGGAAGAAAAGATGATCAGGAGTAGTCAGCATGGATTCACCAAGGGAAATCATGCTTAACTAACCTGATACCACTCTGTGATGGAATGACTGGCTGGGTAGATGAGGGGAGAGCAGTGAATGTTGTCTAAACTTGACTTCAGCAAGGCTTTTGACACTGTCTCCCATAATATCCTCATAGGTAAGCTCAGGAAGTGTGGGTTGGATGAGCAGATGGTAAGGTAGATTGAGAACTGGCTAAATGGCAGGGTTCAGAGGATTGTGATCAGCAGTGCAGAGTCTATCTAGAGGCCTGTAGCTAGTGGTGTCCCCAAGGCGTTAATACTGGATCAAATATTGTTCAATTTATTCATCAGTGACCTAGATGAAGGGTCAGAGAGCACCCTCAGCAAGCTTACTGATACCAGTACAGGTTGGCAGTTCACCTTCTGGAAAGCAGCTCTGCAGAGAAGGACCTGGGAGTCCTGGAGGACAAGAAGTTAGCCATGAGCCAGCAATGTGCCCTTGTGGCCAAGAAGGCCAATGGTATCTTCAGCTGTATTAGGAAGAGTGTTACCAGCAGGTCAAGGGAGGTGATCCTCCTGGTCTACTCAGCTCTGGTGAGGCCACACCTGGAGTACTGTGTCCAGTTCTGGGCTCCCCAGTACAAGAGAGACATGGCACTACTGGAGAGAGTCCAGCGGATGGCTATGGAGATGATGAGGGGAGTAGAGCATCTCTTTTATGAGGAAAAGCTGAGACACCTGGGCCTGTTTAGCCTGGAGAAGAGAAGACTGAAAGGGGATCTTACCAATATATACAAATATCTAAAAAGAGAGTGTCAAGAGAATGGGGCCAGGATATTTTCAGTGATGTCCAGTGACAGGACAAGAAGCAATGGGCACAAACTGAAACAGAGGCAGCTTCATCTGAATATGAGGCAAAACTACTTTACTGTGAGGGTGACAGAACACTGGAAAGGGTTGTGCAGATGGTGTGGAATGTCCTTCTCTGGAGATATTTAAAACCTGCCCGGATGCAACCCTGTGCAACGTGCTCTAGACGACCCTGCTTGAGCAGGGGGGTTGGACTAGATGATTTCTAGAGGTCCCTTCCAAAGACAACAATTCTGTGATTCTGTGATAGTGGTAGCTGAGGTACTTTCCTCACACATTTACATCTAATCTTGAAGAAAATCCACTGTTGGTATCCAATGTAATCTAGCCTTCAAGGTTCCCTGTAGTGGAGATATTTCCTTCCATCTGTTGTAAACACACACCCAAGGATAAGATTAATTGCTTTGTGGCAGTGCTGATCTCCTTTCATTAACTTTAGAAGAAGCTTTTATTACTAGTTCAAACATCTCACTCTGGATAGGTACACTGGGATTTATCTTGCCTAATTGGGGTGTTTCCAGTGTAGGTGTTTGCACTTATTTTCTAAATTCCCACTGTAGTCCATGGAGTTCTTGGAAATTATTAATTTTATCCTGAAACAGGCATCTTTATTGGTCAGGGGAACTGATCAACAGAACTTGCTGTTCTTCATTGACTGTAGCAGAGATCAGGCAGCTTATGTAGACACATTTCAGGCAAAGGGAGACGATCTCAATTCATAGTGTACCTACAGTTCATATTTGTACGGTTCATAAAATAAAAGGATTATTTTCCTTTTTCTTTTTGAACTCAGCTCTAATTCAAACTGAATTTCTTCTTTTTCAGGGAACACATTTTAACAGTCACCATACAGATGAGGTTACAATCTGGGTTATACCCCACAGTATCATAGTAATTTAGACAATGTGGTTTTCATTGTCTCTGAATCAGATTAGGGATCTGTGTGCAAACACACAGTCAATGAAGTTATTTTATCATTAGACCTGGAATGCACATTACTCTTAGTAGCACTGTTTAGAGGAGATGTAAATCCGTGTTAGGTATTGAAACAGGAAAAGGAGGAATTCAGGTGGTACTTACATTCCAGTTCGTGTTTCCCAACTTGGCTATTATGAAAAATATTTATGTAATAATGTTAATTTGTGCAGCCAATATACTACTCCTGAAGCCATAAAGACATATTAAACATCACCCTTATGTTGCTGTACTTACAGAAAATAATCAAAGAACCACAGTGTTTTAAATGTTTTATTTTCTTGTCAAAAGTTTATGCAAAGCACAGCAAAATAACAAATGTGACGATTCTTCTAGCTTCTTTCACGTTCTTCAGATAACTTCTGATGATCTCTGAAGTTCAGTACTTTAGGACTCATAGAGTAATAGCTGAAAACTTTGTGAATAAGGGTAAGAAAGAGTTGGAACAAATTTAACATGGTAGTAGGTAATAAAAATATTGTAGCTAAACATAGCAATTATTAATATGTAGGTTCTACGTAGAACGTAATTTTGCAAGTCTGACACAGTTTTTGTATGTATTGTCTTTCCTCATGACTTCCACACCAAGGTACTGAACACAGAACTAATATGCATGTATGTCTAGAAGCGAAACACCCCCAGAGTAAATAAGCAGTTTCAAGAGTCTGGGAAACTTGCAGGAAAGGGCACCAAGTTTGCTTCATTGACAATCCTGCTTTTTCTGACTTCTTTGAGTACTCAAAATTGTGAATTGAAGTCAAAATTTCTTGCCTGACTTTTAGATGAAACAGTACTAGAAGTAAATTGATTGACTTTGGTTTATCCCTTGCTGAAATGAATCATAACAGAGTCCAGAATTTGTATCAAATTCCCATTATTGCTTTAGCTCCATAAAACAAGTCTAAACATTATGACTACTTGCTTGTGGTAATGGTTAGGATTGGAAGGGATCTTAAAGATCACCTAGTTCCCCCCCTGCCATGGACGCAGACCCCTTCCACTAGACCAGGTTGCTCAAAGCCCCATCCAGCCTGGCCTTGAACACCTCCAGGGATGGGGCATCCACAGCTTCTCTGGGCAACCTGTTCCAGTGCCTCACCACCCTCACAGTAAAATATTTCTCCCTAATATCTAATCTAAACCTACCCTCTTTCAGCTTAAAGCCACTACCCCTCATCCTATCCCTACACTCCCTGATCAAGTGTTCCTCCCCATCTCTCCTGTAGGTACTCCCTTTAAGTACTGGAAGGCTGCAATAAGGTCTCCCTGGAGCCTTCTCTTCTCCAGGCTGAACAACCCCAGTTCGTTCAGCCTGTCCTCATACAGGATGTGCTCCAAGCCCTCTGACCATCTTCATGGCCCTCCTCTGGACTTGCTCCAATAGGTCCATGTCTTTCTTATGGTGAGACCCCAGAGTTGAACACAGTACCTGAACACAGTAATGCATTGTTCAAAAAATAAGTGTTCCAAAATTTGATCCTTCCCGAAAAATTATTGAAAATTTATCAAAAACCTAATAAGTTGCAGATTCTACCACCTCAACATTTCCTGAATGGGATCCCACTCTGCATCGTGTTTGCAAAGCCAGTTGAGCTATTTGTGTGCCAGGTACTGTTACTTATTGAGTCCTGAGGCACAGCCAATAACTCATGCCTGTTAAAGTAAGTTTTCATACCATTTATTATTACAAAGCATTGCATTTGAGGTGACCTGGAAATGAGTCAAATTCTTAAAATTTATATTAATTTAGATGACTAAATGCAGCTCTTGCATGGTGAAACCTCTTTGTGTAGCAATATTTTATTTTTCCGTATAGTAATGTATCCATCTACCTACATAAAAAGCCTTAAATTAGTTTTCTCCCTCTCTTATTACAATTCAAAATCCATTTTCCTCCAATTTACATTTGAGGAGAAAATTATAAGTGCAATTTAAAATGTAACTAACCATCAAGATATGTGATACGGTTATAACATGGTTTGAAAGTATGCTCAGGAAGAATATATCAGCTGTGTACAGATTTATGCTTCTTTGAGGAGATTACTATTTCCATCACATAAAAGGATTTATGCCAGCATATCATATATAGACACTTTAACAAAAAGGAAGAAGAAAGTCAGGTAGACTGTGT